ACCGCTTAAAACCAGTCAAACCTATGCATATCGAACGATAATCATTTATATTGTACACATCATATCGACTGGTTTTTTATTTAGAAATATTTTTTATAAAATTGATTTATTTTTTATCAAAATGTTGTTGTGGGATATCAAACATACAATCACTACATTTATTTATACTTCTAAAACATGGATTATATTGAATTACACATTTTTGTTTTAAAAAATGGTGTAAATAAAAGTATTTGTTATATTCATTATTAGTTTTTCAACATTAATATTAGTATAATATGTACGTATATAATTTTAATAGTGTGGAGTTTAATTTATGAATCATCGATTGAACCATTATATCTCCATATTATTATCCTAATTAATTTGATCATCGATATAATATTATTAACATCCTGATTCTCAAATTTTCAATTATTTTCATCTAATAATAATTTGAATGATGACATTAACTATTACCCTTCATTTCTTTCATCGTCTCTCTTAAATAATATCAACTAAACAGAAAATTGAGGAAATATAGATATGGAGGTGATAAGGATCTTAATTTGAATCTCCCTATTGAGGAAATATAGATATGTCACATGATATTTTTTCAAATTTATAAAGGAAATGATAATTGGTTGATTTCGAATTTATGAAGGAAATGAGAACAACATTAATTGCAATAAAATATTTTAAAGCATATCTGATATGTTTCTATTTTCTTGAAATGGGTTGTCTACTTTTAATTTTTCTCTACTTTCAATTTTTTATTTGTACTTACCAAAGTACAATTGAATTACAAATAAAATTAATTACAAATCTTACTTGTAGCGACGCGATTTTGGGTTTCCGTTTGAAACTGGTTATGTGACTTAAGAAGTGACGAAATTGATTTCAACATTTTCTAAATGATATGGAGTCGACACTATGTTTTTTGTGATTAAAACTATAAAATTTTCTATTGTGCTCAATTTGGAAAATATGGTCTTTTGAACCTGAGTTTTGAGCTCGAGTGAATGAAGGTAATAGCACCATGTATGTCTGTACTAAACCAGTATCATCCTAATTATATGGACTTTTACACCCTTGAAATTTATTTACTAAAAAAATATTATTTTATATCTAACAAATTTCATCTTCATCCTATGTATCCATATTTCAATAGGGAAATCAATAGTGTGTAGTTCTAGGTTGAAAATCGATTGATTAGTTTGATTTGATTTTAGTTATTTTTTAGATGATTTAGAAGGATATTTGGTCTATCTACTTTAAGGGATTGGTGTCTACACTATAGCTCAACTTAAAGATAAAGAATTTATTAATTACTCCTTTGACCACTTTAAGTGACTAAGGCACTAGCCCTCCTGTTTCACACCACAACTCTATTTAAAGTGATATGTTTCATTTAATTAATTGTTTATCCCTTTTAAGCAACCATGAAATCAACACTCGTTTCTACTCCACGACTCAAAAAGCATAAGTTTTATATTAAATTATTTGCTTACTCCTTTTATACGTCCATGACAACAACACTCGTAATTGCACCACAACTCGATTTAGAGGAAATTGTGTTGGAGTGTGCTTTCACATCAAAATAAGTTATGATGCAATGTTTTGAGGAATAACATTGTTCTGGACTCTTTGACCTGAGATATCAACGTTGTTGCTCCTCGATCCCATCAGGATTTTAGAGACTGGTTAGTTTTGGAGGGTTCAAATATTGTGGATCCTAGAAATTCCTCATTCAAGTGATCAATTCCTATGGTAGGGCATGTGAAGCTGAATGTAGACGACAGTTGTTTCATGCAATGTTGTGAAACCCGAGCCGAACGTCAAGTCGGAAGAGCTTTCGTATTAGGTCTAACCGGTTTAAACAGTTAAGCTGACCGATTGGACCGGATAATTTTAAATATAATTAATATTTTTTATCTATAAATATATAATTATATATAAATGTAAAACTTAATATAATTTATAATTTTATATAATTATATTGAAGTAACATCTATATATATATTTTGGACTGAAATAAAAATATTAGAGTAATGTTCAATTTTTTAAAAAATTTAAGTGAACCGTCCGGTTTTTTCCCCGGTTTATTTTGGTTTAACCGGATTTAGCACGGTCGAATCGGAATTCTTCCGGTTCAAAGCGGTCCAACTAATCATTCGGTTAAGACTATAAAACGGAATCGTTTTTAAGTCCGGTCAGCGATCAAACTGGTCGGACTATCCCATCCAGTTATCACAACACTAGTTCCATGAGTACAAATTCTATGGGCGGTGGTGGCGTCATTCATAATCATGAAGGGATGTGGCTATTGGGTTCGAAGCTAAGCTTATGGTAATGGAGCAAAGTCTTATTAGGGCTTGGGATAAGGGTTTCCATTCTATTGTTCTTGAATGTGATTGTCTAGAGGTCATGCAAATCATCACAAAGGATCTTGTTATCATATTCCAGAAGAACAACGTGAAATGTTCATATTAATGTTACTAGAGACAACTCTATTTATCTCAGCAATTGATTTTTGATAGTTTCAATCTGAGTGCAAGAACAACGTGCAATGTTCATAGGCTTCTCTGCTGAGACGCGTAAATGTTCCTTTGAGTTAAAATGAAAATTTTGTTTACTACATTGCTACTTTGGTTTAAACATTGATATTAGAATATCTCTGATATTGAATTCCTAATAGTTGAAACTAAATTGTATAATACTAATATTATTATTTGCCCTTCAACATTATGGCACACACCGTGTCGGATTTCTATTCGCACCGATTGTGTTAATCTGGCTTCTATGCATCAGTATTATTGGTTCTTATAACATCTTCCATTGGAATCCACAAAATAGAGGGTGGATGTCCTTGGGTAGGATTCTATGATGCATGTAGCAAGTGTACAAAATCGAAATCGTGTTGTAAACTGTTATCTACTTCATATATGCTTTATCATTTCTTTGTTCCAGGTTCAGAAGCTATGTTTGCTTATCTAGGACACTTAATTAAGGTACTATTCTGTCTTTATTAAGAATATAATCATACTGAATAAGCCATTGATTCAGTCCTCCATAGATGAATGTTATCAATTTGATCCTGAAAGATATGTATCACCAAATAAGCCTCTAAAAGTTTTAAAATGTCACCATGTTAGTCCTTCTACGACTGCGTTCACACATTTTACAACATTTCAAGGACCTTACTCCATTGTATTAATCATGATCAAGATTAAATTTGCAATATTTTTGTAATGAAACTTTCTTTTCTTTCGATCAACAGGGTTGGCTGTCATAACCGTGATGTTGATAACGATGTGCCTAATGTCTCTAGTTATAGTCATATGCTGCCACAAAAGTGTCTTTCTAGGCATTTGCTTCTTAGTGTTCTTTGGCTCTATTGAAGCACTCTATTTCACTGCATCCATCAACAAGTTCTTTGAAGGAGCTTGGGTCCCCATTGCCCTCTCACTCATATTCTTTGTTATAATGTATGTGTGGCACTATGGCACACTTAAGAAGTATGAGTTTGATGTTGGAAACAAGGTCCCTATCAATTGGATCCTCGATTTAGTCCTGAATTTAGGAATCGTGAGAGTTAAAGGAATTGGCCTCATACATACCAACCTTGTCTCCGATATCCCGGCTATTTTCTCTCATTTTGTTACTAATCTGCCTGCCTTTCATCAAGTTTTAATCTTCCTATGTGTCAAGTCTATCCCCGTGCCCGCATGTGAAACCGGAAGAAAGTTTCCTAGTTGGCAGAGTTGGCCAAAGGAATATAGAATGTATAAATGCATAGCGCGGTATGGCTATCACGGTTTTCATAAGGATGATATCGAGTTTGAGAGGGATCTTGTATGCAGCATAACAGAATTCATCCGATTGGAAACTTCAGAATACGGATTAGGACACAAGCATTCTAAAGAGGACACAAGGATGACAGTTGTTGGAACATCATCGTCAAACTTAGAAGGTGTGAGGTTATGTGAAGATGATATTGATCGTGATCGCGATAAAATGGAAGGCTCTTCAAAGTTGTTGGAAGTGGTTAAGAAGTCGACGAAAAAAGTAAAGAAGCGAGTAAGGTTTGTTGTGTTGGATAGTCCACGGGTTAATGTGGATATAAGGGAGGAGTTGCATGAGTTAATGGAAGCAAATGAGGCAGGGGTGGTATTTATAATGGGGCAGTGTTATATGAGAGCAAAAAGTGGATCAAGTTTGTTAAAGAAACTTGACATCAATTATAGTTATGATTTCTTAAGGAGAAACTCTAGAGGACCAACATATGCTTTAAGTATACCTCAAGCATCTACCTTAGAGGTGGGTATGATCTATCATGTATCAGTTTTTGGAGGGACAATGATTTGTTATCCTAAATTATGTCCCAATTTTATTTCAAATTAATAAAAACATATCATGTCAAATAAAAAAATTAAATATTCTTTATTTTTTCTATTTTTTCTTCATTGTCATTGATTTGATACATGATTTGAAACATACTTTAGATCAACATATATTTGTCCTTTTCAAACATCATTTTATAAGTACTTTAGTTTTGTGACTAGTGATCTTCTATAAATGGTAAATGGTGGTGCCATTTTGTAGTGACACTCCAATCTTTCCTCTTTCCCTTTTTTCCTTCTTAATTTGTATTTTCTTGGTATATAAATATGTTGTTTAGAGGGATTACTTACCATTATATAAGCTCTAATGGTCCTAGCATGAGGACAAATGGAAATGAAGATCAAGTTCTAATTGTAAATTAATATTGTAACAACTTTTTCAATCAACAACCAAACATTTATCCTAATATATGGGGTCGGTTACATGGATAAGAACCCAGCAATTCAAATTTACAATGAATCTATGATCTACAAATACCAGTTCATATGGGACAATCCAGTTTAAGAAATCAAATTACCCAACAATGATTAACACAACCGGTAAGTGTGAACCATGTTAACTAAGTTGGTGGGGTTTGAATCATGTCAATATCTATTGTCAATGGAATAAGCACTTATGGAGCCTTGAGGCAAGCTCTAACACTAGGATGAGACAATTTTTTTATTAAAAAAATCAAATTAAGGGAACCATAACCTATGTCTATAGTCTGTATTATTAAAAGAATGCATGTCAGAATGTCTATAAAGTGTGAACTATGAACACTAGAGAGTTATGAACACATCTTAATGTCAAATTCTAAAGAAACAAATTTCAGAATGTGGCAGTGCAATGCCTAATGTACCACATCCCTGCTTTTTAACATGGATTGCATGGAACCAAATTCTCTCATTTTTGAAGATGGTAAAATGTCATACCTCATCTGCCGCGACCCGATTTTTCTATCTAATGCTCTTGACTAATTTCACTAGTTTATCAAGGTTTCCCATCACCAATTTGAACATCTTTAATGATCTCTTTCTTTTTAGAATATTGGAGAACCAAATTTAGTCCCTATTAGTCTAATAGGGACTAAATTTGGTACTTGCAAAGTTGCAATTTTAGGGTGTGTTGGAATATTTTGGAACATGTTCATCTAAAACTTATGAAAATTAAACATTATATGAATTATTGGAATGGAAAGTGGGGGCATTGTATGGTTCTACTGATTAAACTCACTCTTTTCTGGTTTCATTTCAATACGGGGATTGTTCATGTGACATTACTCTTGTCAAGTTGCTTTTATTTTCTGCTTCAAAAAGAATAAATAGCTTATGTTTGTATTTATCACCAAATAATGTGGATCAAATGCATCATCTTTTTCTCTAATGTCTTACAATAATAACTAGTTTACAAAACAATATACACTTTTTTTGCAGCAGAATTTTAGATGTATATAAATTACAATAGCACAAACTTCATAATTGAAGAATCAGAAAACAAGAAGGAAATTCAAGTCACATGAATAACCATGTAACAACTTTATTTTGTAGACACTTTTAAACAGAAAATTTAAAAATTAGAGAGTTTTACACTTAAGCTCTGAATTACATAATAAAAAACAAGTAATGTACGAATCTTGATGAGAAAAGAACTAAGAATAAAACATCGTTCATTTTCTTAAACAAATACAAAAGATTCAATTGTTTTCAGCCTTTCTGCGAACCAAAAGATCTTCAATTTATAATCCTTTCGGCTTTCTGGAGAGGCTTTTTTCACAATTTAATTAACACAACCACATAACTTTTTTAAAAAAATAATCAATTACACTCAAATACAGCAAACATAAAATAATTAAAACCAAATATCCGAATAGATTTAAGTATGGAACATGAAATTAACATTCCATACCATTAAATCTATTCGGGAATTTAACACTTTATAAAAGTTTTAAATCCAAATATCGATATACGCCTCTGTCTGAACCACACGGTGTCGATACTTAACCGTGTGGTTATTCGGAGGCATAACATATAAATAAATAACAAAATTAAAAAATGTGAAAGACTAGTTGAAGGACAATTGATTTGAGAAAAAAAGAATGTCTTTTCAAAATGTCTTTCTCTATAATTGAACCAAAAATGAATTTGATTCAGATTAATATGTGCCTCCTAACTAAGTCACGTATGAAATTGTTATTTTCATAGGACTACTCAAAGAGGCTATGATAAATAACATATGAATCAAAACATTATAAAATGTTGAAACTCACTTTGTTGTTGAAGACTTTGATTCCTCTGCTTCACAATGTCTCAGACGCCAAACATGTCTCATTGTTGATCCCATTAATAGATAAATTTTTAGGGTTGCAGCTGTTAACCAAACATGGGCTTCGTGGGTTATGGGCCTGTTGGCTAGGTCAAAGGAATGGATGTTCTAGAAAGAATTTCCATTATTTCTCACTCTCAAACAAATGAAAGGTTTATCTTACTTTCCCCTTCCCTTACTCATTAATCTTTCTCCTTCACTTTTATTCATAACTCTCGACGATACCCTTAATATTAACTTCGTGTTAGGGCAAAAAAGAAAGGATGTTATTGTTACAATATGGACTTATGGAGCAATAATATTTGGAAATGTTATTCATATAGGCATTGTTTCCAATAATATTTTTCTATTCATATATACCATTAGGGTTGAGCGTGAGTCGGGTTGGGTCGGGTTAAGGCTTGTCCTTACCCGGCCCTAAATGTTGTTCGAGTCATTTTTTTTGAACCCGGACCCGACCCTATACCCGATTAAATATAATGTATACTCATTTTACATAAAGTCTTCTAAATATTATTTATTATTGTGAATATGTAATTTGACATATAAAATAATATATTTGTATATATATTATTAAACATGTATATATGATGAAAAATTAGAGAATCAATGATATTTTTAACCAAAAAATATCATTATTCTGTATATATTTGAACAAAGACACATACAAACATCATGAGAAAGTGAAAATGGGACGAGTCGGGACGGGTCATATTTGGTCCATACCCGGCCCTAAATATTGATTGGGTCTAATTTTTTAATCTAAACTCGGCCCTAGACACGATGAGACCCGACCCTTTTCAGGCTCGACTATGATCGGACCATACTGGGTGAGCGGGTAGGGTCGGGTCCTGCTCACCCCTATATAGCATGTAAGTCATATAAAGCATGTAAGTCAAATATATATAGGATCTTTCCAATAATATTTTTCTATTCATATAAAGCATGTAAGTCAAATATATAGGATCTTTCCCTTTGATTAGCAACATGATTTGGAAATGTTATTTTTTAGTTTATCTTTATACTATAACTTTACTATCTTACAATGTTTTCTTTAAAAAAATAATCTAAACCAACAAAATATTGATGTAGAATAATTAAAAAAATATTAAATTGTATTTGTCAATGTTCAACTAGAAAATAAAAAAAATTGTAATCTTAATTATCAAAGTTTGATTTTATTAACAAAGTATTTTTTATGCATGGGATACAAATCAAGCTTAAAAACTATTTATCCATCAATTATGTTTTTTGGTACTATCAATGATATTCTTTTATCATTTTGGGTATGAAACTAATTCATTTTAGGGTGTGTTAACGCTCATCTCATCAAATGTTGCTCTCAAAAATTGAACATTTGACTTTTTTGTTATCATGTAGATCTAACGGAGTGTTAAACCATTAGATAATTACTTAATGGATAAAACTTAGGTAAAATATCATATGTGCCAGTGGTACAAGTGACCTATTAAAGGATGACACATGAAAATATACAAGTGACCTATTAGATAAAATCACCAATGTTTTGTAGTGTGCAACTTTGAGTTTCTGCTTGTGAGTCTGTAGCTTGTTAACATTTTCGATGTAATAAAATTTGTAGTTGGGTATGTAACTTATGAATTAGAGTTATTCACTAAAATTATGTGAATTTATTATTTATTTACAATTTGTTTAGTTTTTATTTATTAAAATATAATTATGGATAATTATATAAATAAATATTAGGAATTTGCTAAAATTATTAGTAACTTTATAATTATGCATTTATCTACATAATGTTTGTAACATTGTTAGTAATTATTTCTAATAATATTTAGAATTATTTATATATTTAGTTATTTATAATTATGGGATGTACTTTATTGTGGTGTACTTTTAATGTAATTTGATAAATTTTAATAGGGTAAAATTGTAATGAATTATCAAAAGCTTTTATGATTTTTGAAAAGCTAATTGAAGTAGCATTTTTAAAAGTTACGAGTTTCATACAATTTTGGTTTACCAAACGACTCTAATAACTTATACATTGCGTCAAAAACTACGGACTCGCATTTTGTATTTTGAGGGTCCTTTTTAAAAAATAAATTATATATTTTTTAATGCCACATTTACTACTTTTTTATTCATATTTATCATTTGTTTATTAATAAAAAAACAATAAGTTAGTTAAGTTATTTTGGAAAGAGTTTTAGATGTATATAGTAATTAATGAATTATTAAATTAGTGAAAAGAAAGGTAAATATTCAATTAATATTGTGAAAAATCTTTTAAAAAGTAATAGTGAATAGACTAAATGATATAAGATTTTGTTGGATTTGGATTTTTAGATATTATGTAATGCCAAAAATCAAAGTTCAATTTCTAATCCTTGCCATTATACTCTAAAAAAGGAAGATTAGTTCATTACAAATGATATATTTGGTTAAATAAAAAGTATTAAAAATAATGAATGGAATGAGATTAATGAGTGAATGAAATGTTTGACTTTTTTCGGAATATTGTTACACTCCAAAAAACCAAACAAAGTCAGGAGTCTCGCCATTGTTTATATTACTAACCTAACCTAACCTAAAACAACACAAACTAGACCCATTTTTGTTTATCTTTGTTCTTAATCTCTCCGGCCACCATGTCTTCATTATCATCTTCGACCACCGCCATCACCACCACCACCACCACCATATTCTCAAACAAGGCATGCACATGCTTCTACATTTCCTCACAATGGTGGAAGCGTCTATCAGAGAATAATAAGATTAATAAAATGGAGAAGTGGTGGGGTCAAGGTTACAAGAAGCTTCGAGAATGGTCGCAGATTGTTGCAGGTCCCAAATGGATAAACTTCATACGAAGATTTGATAAAAAACGCACTATTTCACTTAACTATGATCCGCTTAGTTATGCGCTCAATTTCGATGATGGTTCAAACGATCATGGTGAGGAAGAAAAAGAGATAAAGTGATAAGAAAAGAGTCGATTTTAAGAATTGTATTGTTTGATACAAGAGCAACATAAAATAATGAAAAGGTAAAGAAATGTGATATTTTTTGTATATACAATGATAACTTTGTCATATTAATTTTTTGTTGTTGTTGTTTGATTGGTACTAGTATTTGAACATCTCTCTAAATGATATAATTTCAAACCAACTACCAAAGAGACCAAGGATGAAACTCCTTGGTTCTTAAATGTTATTTGGATTATTTTTATGAAGTTTGATTTCACCCTACACTTAAGGTTAATTTGATTTTAAATGTTATCCAGGTCAACTTTTGAGCACGAACCCGACCTTAGATCCAATTAAATATATAATGTATATCCCTTTTAGATAAAGTCTTTTTAATATTATTTATTATTATGGATATGCAATTTGACGTATGAAATTATATATATATATATGATGAAAAATTAGAGAATCAATTGTACTTTCGATCAAAGAGATGTTATTACTATGCATATAATTAAATAGAGACACATACAAACATGAGGAGTGGATAACAATGGGACGGCTCCGGACGTGATCATATTTGTCCCCCACTAAATATTGATCGAGTCTAATTTTTAAACTCGAACTCGGCCATATACTTGATGAGATCTGACTATATTCGGACCGACCATGATATAACCAAGTCAGGTGAGCGGATAGAGTCGATCTGTTCATCGTTAATATTTGTCATATTAACTTTAATACGAACTTATAATTTAAAAACAATTTGATTGTCAAAATTAATAAAATCATTGTTTAATTGTTTTTAAAATTTTAATTAAAATAACATCTACATGTTAAAATTGTTTTTTAATAAACCGATACAAACACAAAGTAGCAATTGAGTGTTTTTCCATTTTTTCTAATTGTCATAACTTTGTTATTGGGCAATTTCAAAACACCTTCTCATTTTCTTTAATTACGTGGAATTGAGATGTTTCATCTCATTTTCCTATTTCTAACTCATTACCATTAATAGAATTTTGATGAATATGTATCAAATATCAAATAATATTTAATTAGTCAGAATAAAATTATTTTGATGTAGATAATTTCTATTCAATGATGTGAGGAGAATAAAATTGGAATAAGACCCACCATTATTTTTCCATCTTTTCTATTTTTCTGGTCAACCAAACCGGAAGAATTGAAACTTTATCCTCTCTCATCTTATGGAAAAAATGGAATAAGATGATAACATGAATGTAAATAGAAATTTTTATCAAATTATGGAAACATATCACGTTTTATAGCTTAAATTTTATGTTTATCCTTCTTAAAAATTTAAAAGTTAAGTTTGACCTATTTAAAAAAGCAATGTATCCTTTGTTTAAAAACATAATCCAACATATAAGCCTATTTAAAAATCTAATATATCCAGGACCTTTAAATATACAAAAAAAAAAAACTTATATTTGAATGTGTTAACATATTTTTCTTTTAAATAATATGATAATATAATAATAACAACTAAATTATAGTTTTATATTAAAATTTCATATATAATAATATTAACTAGATGAAAATAGAATAATATTAATATAAATATATAATATAATTAAATACGTCAGTATCATAGGTTTAATATATATTTTCAAAAAAGCCTTAACATGATCTATTTAAAAAATGATATTTGTATTAGATTAGGTAATAAGCCTTTAATAAACGATCTAATGTTTCAACCTCTACATTAAATACACGTTGGAAAGTCTATCATAAAATAAAATATATTTTTTCTATGTGATTGTTCAAAAATTGATTATTGCTTTTGTAAATATTTTTAGGAAGAACTTTGTTACTTCATAATCTAAGGGTTTATTTGTAAGTTGGATTTTAGAGGGAAAAGAATATAATGAAAGACTCCAAAGTCATAAAATACATTGTGAGATGACTTTGAAACCTTTCGTTTCCATCCAAAATCTAACTCGCAAACAGACCCTAAGTAATTGCATCGAAATATACACATGGTTTATTCCTTATATCAAAAATTTGGGATGCATGGTTACATACCCCAAAAACACATTGGCTTATTTGATAGGGTTACAACTTACAAGTCTCTTCAAGAGTGCATGAACTTGTTAAATTTGTATTCTTTTTTGTATGTTTAAAAATCACAAGTATTATTTAAGAGATACAACCATGTTCGAGACTATGAGAACTATTATGAATGACAAATTTTCCCTTTGAACATTAAGCACAAAATCATACTTCGGACTCAGAGTCAAGATATAACTTATTAAAGTGGATCAAGTTC